GAGGTTTGTCAGCTTTGGAAGCTGTGGGTATGCTGAAGTAGCAGCCGTCATTTCTCACTTGGCGAATGGCCTTCAGCGTATTAGAAGCATGTTTTGCTGTCTGGTATAATGTTGACGGATAGTTTTGGAGCGGGAGACGCAGGAGGTCGCGAATCCCTGGCAGAAGGACGGAGATGCGGGATGGGACTAACAGAACCGTGTTGGTGAAAGCGGACGGAGTGTACGAACGTAATCTGGCGTTGCGTGTTACAAGGACGGTCTGATGAAGGTGAAGGGCGTGTACGAGGGTAGCCCACCGGCCATGTGTTACAGGGACGGTCTGATGAAGATGAAGGGCGTGTACGAGGGTAACCCACCGGCCATGTGTTACAGGGACGGTCTGATGAAGATGAAGGGCGTGTACGATGGTAACCCGCCTGCCATGTGTTACAGGGACGGTCTGATGAAGATGAAGGGCGTGTACGAGGGTAACCCGGCGCTCGGCGACCCGATGACGATCGAATCTCAGCTGCGGGAGAACACCCAGCGGCTGGAGAAGCTCAGATGCGAGCTGCAGAAGTACCAGGGGTAAGCTGGCGGCCGCCGGGGCTCCTCGGACGGCGGTGCACGCGAGAGAGTGCGCCGTCCCCGCCCGCCGGACGCGAGGGTGGCACTGACCGCGGCGGGCTCGGGGCCGTGTGATGTGTGTTGCTTGGCGGGTGGCGACAGGCCGTGACTGGCATGCCCAGAAGCGCCGCCGGCGCTGTACTCGTTGGAGTGACGCAAGGGCTTCCGGCAATGTCCGGCCTGATGTCATCTGTGGCTGCTGAGTGTCCGTGGAATGGCAGCGGTTGGCGATCGCGCCAGCCGCGTCAGACCTGGGTTTGAACGAACTAGCTGATTTGTTTTCTTGAGTATTGGTGCTGTGTGAAACCACAAGTGGTGCCCGGTAAAGTTCGGACTAGCAGCGATGTTGCCACGTCTTAAAATCATCGTCATGCCCCCACAACGACTCCCCGGCCGCCCACGCCCGCTGTTTTGCTGCGGTTTTGGAGCCGCACGTCGCCAGCTCCGAGGCGCGACCGGCCGAGCCGCGCTGCCGTCGCGCCCCTGCCGCCGCGACTGACCCGAGCCGCGCCGGCAGCCTGCTGGACACGAACGGGCAGCGATCGAGCCTGAGCGAGCCGGAGAGCAACCTGAGCCGGTCGGCCAGCGACTCCTCGATGAACCAGCCGGCCGGCGCGGCGCCGCCGGCCGCCGCGCCGCGGGGCTCCTCCTCCAGCGCCGCCGCCGGCCGCCAGACGGTGCACGCCGCCACTCTGCCTAGTCACATGTGAGTGGTGCGCCGGCTTCGACTGCAGCGGCAGAAGCGGGGTCTGACTTCGCTAGTGCTCTATGGAAAGGGCTCAGCGAGAGGGTCTAAGTTTACGGAGGGGTGTGTTGTATCTGCGGCGAGGAGTCAGTAAGCGTTCGTGTGGTGAGAAGCTCGTTGCTAAGTACTGGTGGTCATCAGTGGGCTTTTGATCCACATGGAATGAGTAGAACGAAACTGAGTAGAAGTGTCGGTGTGTTGCGGCCACAGTGAGGCCGTTCACACTTGACTGTTCGATAACACACATAACGCTAACATGTAAATGTTTTATCCTGATGTTTTTCGCGTGGTTTTGCACCCTGCTGGCCGTGGCGTACAGCTCGTCTTCGCAACCTCAACATGATTGTTTTAGTTACCATGGACAGTGTTAGCTGTGTATGGTGTTTTTCAGCTGTACTTCAAAGAGGGTAGGCAGTCTTAGACTTCCAAGTGTGTCGCCTACCTGGCCTGGATGCCTGCTAGCTAGTATCAGCCCTGTGTGAATGTTCCGTGGTGATGTTACACCAAGGTCGACCTGGGTTTCGCGTCCCAGTGACCTGGTTTGACCCCCGCCCCACCTCCCGCCAGCTCGTCCGACAGTCCGAAGTCGGGCCTGGGCACTCCCTCAGTGACCTGGTTTGACCCCGCCCCACCTCCCGCCAGCTCGTCCAACAGTCGGGAGTCGGGTCTGAGCACTCCCCCAGTGACCTGGTTTAACCCCCGACCCACCTCCTGCCAGCTCGTCCAACAGTCCGGAGTCGGGTCTGGGCACGTCGCACACATCGCTGCCGGGCTCGGACTCGGAAGGCGAGGAACGCAACCAGACGGACGGCCGCGACCCCATGGACGTCGACGCGGACGCCGAGCCCGGCTTCGACGAGCCGCTGCCCGTGCTGGCCCCCGCCACCGCCCTCTACCCGTTCGAGGGTGAGTCGGCCGGGAGGGCTGGGCGGTGTCGGCGGGCGGTGCCTCGGTGCTCGGAGGCTCGGGAGGAGAGCCTGATGCTGGCCGCCCTGCCGCAGGGAACGGGTCAGGCTGTCGCGGTGAGGCCGGCCGCGGCTGGCGGTGATCCGCTGGGTGGGAGGCGGGTGACGGGGCCGGGCCAGTCTCCGATGGGCCGGTGGGCCGCTCGGGCCGCCGTGGGCAGCTGCTCGGCGGCTGGAGACCGGGCGCAGGGGAGGGGCGCCGGACAGCCCACGTCTTCGCCGGCAGAGGGCGGCGGTTCACGGCGCCGGCTTCCGACAGACGGGTCGCCGCCACCAGAGGGCGCCACCGACGCTCCCGGTGGCGGCTACATCGCGCGCCGGCCGCTGCCGCCCGTCGCCGACGCGCGCGCCCTCTTCCCCTTTCAAGGTGGAGCCTGGAGCCGGCGGCTGGCGCCCGTGTGCGGTGGCGTGCGTGTGGCCGCGGCTCGCCCGCCGCCGGACGCTTGGCCGGCCGGCCGATGCCTGACCCCTTATGACCCGCACTGACCGGCCGGCTCGGGACAGGCCGGGTCGCGCGGACCGCAGGCTCGGTGCGGGGCCGTTTTGGCGCCGAGTGTCTGTGCTGTTTTTTGGTGACTGCTGAGTGACTAGGCTCCTGCTTTGGTGGCATTCACCTGCGGTGCACTGACGCAGGGCTGTCGTAATGTCAGCTAGAAATAACCTACCGCCTCTTGCTTTTGCGTCATCCAGAGTGTGGTTTTGTTCCGTTTGTGCAGCCGTAACCGCGTGTGGTTATGGACCGGCGGCTGGAAATGCAGCCATCGACGTGGTAATATTTCAACTTCACGTACACTGCGCAAGCCACCCTGTCGTGGCGTGCCGGGCCGCTGCTGCTGCTCCCCATTATCATCCGGTCACATATCACATATCACCCGGTCCCCATTATCATCGGTCACACACGCGCCGTGCCATCAGCGGTCCTGTGGCGGCTGACCTGACGTCGGCGCCTTCCGCCGACAGCATCGAGCGAGGGTTCGATCCCCATGGAGGAGGGCGAGCAGCTGCTGGTGATCGAGCTGGACCAGGGCGACGGCTGGACGCGGGTGCGGCGCCAGCACAGCCTCGAGGAAGGCTTCGTGCCCACCGCTTACCTGCAGATCCACGCCGAGCGCTGAGGCGACGCCGCCAGCGCTCCCGCCGGCTGCGGCGGCCCGCCACGCGCTACTGGGCTCCCAACGAAGCAACGCTCTATTTTGGACCGCGAGATTATTGTCAGTGTCGGCGCGGGAAGGTTTTCGGCGCGGATGGCGATTATTTTCGACGCTTGAGGACTGGAGCGTTTTGGTTCCGGCGTTCTGGCGTGTCTTGGCTGGCGGTAAGTTGCCAGCTTCTCGCTGGCCCCGTGGGCGCCAGTGGCTCCGTCGGTGGCGCGCGGCCGCGCCGCGCTACATTCGAGCCAGAGTGACGACTCCCCTCTCCCCGCCCCCATCGCGCTGCGGTCGTTCATTTAGTCGTCGGCATACGTCGCGTAATCATCGAGGTCGGTGGACGCCGACTTCTTAGCCCCGTGCCAGTGAACGAGGGATTGTAGTTCCATTCTCCCGCCGTGTTGTATGTGTTTAGTTTTTTGTGGATTCTTAACTTTACTTGCCGACTCTGGTGGTCGCCGTTTATGTTGAACTCCTCGCCCTGAGGAGATTATGTACGTTTGCGTTTTGGTAGGAGCGGCGATTTGTGTACGGAGGACTGGCACTGGGCTGGCCGGCGGTGGTTCCATGTTCAGAAGGCTGTGTTCTTTTTCACGACGCAGCCGGCGGTACCTGGGACCGTCTGGTGGTGTGTCATATCCCGGTGGGGAGGGGCGGAGGCGTCGCGGGCCGCTGTCAGATGGCGGAGAGGCGAGCAGCCCCAAGTGCAGCGGTATCGGCGGCCTCCGCGCCCCCGGCTGGACGCGGGGGTCGTCTGTCAGAGTCCGGCTCTGCGGCGACGAAGTACAGGAATGTTGTTCTCGTGAGCCTCTCGCCGCTGGGCGGGTTTCGCCTCCTGATTTACGGACTATGTGACACTGCGACCATCCTAGAGCCCCCTTTCTTTTCTTTCTATGCCTAGCCTATCCTAAGTCTCGTCCTCGCTGTTCTGAAGCGGAGCTTCTCGGTAGATATTAAGTGCAAACCAAGTATTGCCAAACCGCGCTCGGTGAGTCATGCCATGATAGAGTGAGTGTTAGACGATGACTAGAATGAATGTGTCCTCCAGTTTTACTCTGGCCTTTTGTGGCAGGTCAAGCAAATCTCAGCTGTTTTCCGCGCTGTGTGTCACTGTGGTTCCAGAGCGAGAAAAAGGCATTTGTCGCGTCTAGCTCAATTTGAGCTCCTTGAGTAAGTAATCAATCCAGGAAAAAATGACAACTGCTGATATCTTATGCAAATATTTTAGTACACCGTGGTAGGGTGGCATGATGATGCCATGTTCAGGACAAGATGCGTCATAATTTCGGCTGCATCGTCGGAGCTGACTCTCCAGTCAGCCAATGCAGCATGCGTGTTCTTCGGCGGTGGAGATCTGTGCGCTGTGTCTGCCGCCTGGCACTGCAGCCACCGGACCCCTGCGCCGCCCGACGCTGTGTCGGCGTCGCAGAGCGTGGCGCCGCGCCGGCGGACCGGACGGCAGTGCCGGGACTGGGACCCCTCTCAAAGGGGACGTCCGGCCGCGGGCAGACGGCCAGCTGCTGCGGCTGGCTTCCGTGAGAGCTTCTCTGTGACCGCCCTGCCCCGAGGACGGCGCGGGGAGCGCCTCTGCCGCGCCCGCTGCCGGTCCGGCGCCGCTGCCGCCAGCTTCGTCTCGCCGCCGCCCTGTGGCGTCATCAGTGTTGAGCCGTGCCGTGCGCCTCCCCCCCCCCCCCCCCCCCCCTCTCCTTCTCCTCGCAGTGCCGTATGGGCCGCAGTCTGCGCCGTTTCGACGCAGGTCAGCTGGGCCAACAGGAGTGCGGCGCCGCGTCGGGCATCTCCTGATCGGCAACAGGACCGGCGCCCCGCGCTCCGTGTGCATTTCGTCCGTGTATGTATGTGTGTGTGTGCTCGTGCATCAAAGGCGTCGTAACTAGCGTATTTATCACTGGATCCCAATTGCCGTCACTCAATACAGAGAACTACCGTACGGTTCCGTCTGTGTGGTGGCGCAGCCGGCGCCGGCACCGTGCGTAGCCTGGACATCGGATAGTATTCGTGTGAAACGGGCTCTGCTTCAGCCAGTTTGTGACGATCTGGCGCGCACGGTTCAGACCGCCAATTGCACTGCGCGAACATGCGCTGCAAGTCCACCCGTTCCGCTCCAGCAGCCAGCATGGGGTGCGCCATTGGCTTGTGCCAGGACAATGGCTATAGTGCCCAGAAGATGCATCGTATTCTCATGAGTGCGACGCCGTGCGCGAAGTCTGTTGCGGCCCGCCGGTCCCCAATGTCGGCCAGTCTGATATGCCAGCGCGGCGTGTGACATCATGACGTCATCAGTCAGATAAAGCCCGCGTCTCCTCAAGATACCTAGCCGCGAGTGAGTGCCTGGCCAATGTACGACTGGGAGGAATGCTGTCGCTCTCAAAAAATATGTATTGACATCGATTATTACAACCAGTCATCACTTAACGCGGACTCGATATGGCATCGTTCTACGATTTGCGTTGCCTTGAGACCGTAGTTGAGCACGCCCTGCCCTAGAAACCACCCGGAACACATTGGTAAAACGACAGGTCCGGTCCTATGCGTCGACAATATTCACACTCATGCATTTCGCGCCTGTCAGGCATAGTCATGAATTAAGAAAGGGACGCGCTGCGTCTGCCGGTCTTGGCTCGCGTGACGGTTTCTAATCGTGCGCACTGATTTACGCTCTCAGGATCAAATCAATGTAAGGCTGGCGCATTATCTCAAGCTCAAGAAATATGTGAAGCCGCTGCGGCATCTCACGACACTTCAACGCAGATGTGATCAAGCGCCCATGTAAGCAAATCTTATCCCTAATCACAAACGTTCCGCAGTTGCACGCACGCATCGCAAATGCCGCCAGTCGGTTACCGCGCCGCCTGTGGTTGCGATCACACATACAGACGGCAATGGTGCACAATCTCCGACGTCACAACTACTTTGATCTTCCTCGATTCGCATATGACAATGGGCACCTATGTATGTACAGCGATCACACAAATTGACACGATGACTAGCAGAGCCGCGTCCGTGACACCATGCCTGGCACTGGAAGCGGTGCGGCGGCGGTCTCACGCCTCCCGGCCGCCGACGCCCCGGGCGGCGTCTGGCGCGCCGGCGCCCGCCGCCGGCCGGCAGCAGTCGAGCGCGTACGACAGCATGTCACTCTGCAGCGTCAGCAGGCTGGTGCGGTCCAGCTCCTGCCGCTCCGTCAGCGTCGCCAGCTGCTGCTTCACCTGGCGGACGGCGTGCGGTCAACGACGGCAGGGCATGGGCGGCAGTGTGACGGTGCGGCCAGGAAAAGGTGACGGTATCGGTAACAGTGTCCACCCCAAAGTGAGCAAGCAGAGGCCGTTAAGTCCCATGAAAGGAAAAGCCCCGCACTTCGTGATAATAAATGCCTAAGGAATACGATACACCAATTGTAATACAATCTGGTCCTGCGGTGTGGCTACTGACGCTGCACCGTATTGAATCATTTGTATCGTGACCGCGGTCGTGATCGTGATATCTACCGTACTAGATATATATAACAGTCGAACGTGTACGACGGCATTTTTTCAATAATTTAGAAAGGATATATACATGTATATTCTAGATGTCAATGAGCAATGCTAGTTGTTCTCGGTGACCTGGCCCTGACCTACCTTGTTCCGCAGCGACGGCACCTCCTTGTACTCGTCCTTGACCTGCTGGACAGCCGAGTTCAGCTGGTCGTAGCTCACATCGAGACGCGCCAGGTCGTGGCGCATCTCCACCACCCGGCTGTCCAGCTTGGTCTCCAGCTCCTCCACCTCCCGCACCAGCTGCTGCGTCGATGTCTGGATGTCCCGCATCGTGTCCCGTCTGCTCGGGACGGGGCGGCCGGTTAGGACGGACACGGCAGGAGTTATGCCCACTCCACCACTGCGCCTCTGGCCTCTGTGCTAAACAGAACACCACACGCGTTTTATGCAGCAGCTAAATTAACTGCTGACCTCTCGCGAGGGCAAACCGCAACAACAAACGCATTAATCAAGTCAGCTGCCGACAGATGGCGAAGCTCCTGTGCAACAGGCCACACAGCGCTGTAAATCTGCTGGGCCCTTCCGTGCCGGTTCCGGCGAGACGCCACGCCGCCGCAGAGGCGCCGTGTGCAGCAGCACGTACCCGGCGGTGACGTTAAGCTGCCAGCTTAGCTCCTGTCGGGCGCGCTCGCCCTGCTCCAGCCGGTCGGCCAGCTCCTCCTGACGCCGCTCCGTCGCCTGCTGCCGCTCGCGCTGTGACGTCACGTTGCGGCGCGCCTCGCGCAGCTCGCCGTCCAGCCGCAGCTGCTGTCGGTAGATGACGTCCACCACGTGCTCGAGCGCGTGCAGTTGGAACGGGCCGCCGCTGCCGTGCCCCCTGTGGCGGCGATGGTGGCGCCGCCGGTGGTGGCGGGGCAAAGCGGCGGTCGCGCTGGGTGCAGGCGAGAGGAGCAGCTCTTTCCGCAGTGTCGCCACCTGCGGGGGAGGGAGCCAGTCAAGTCTGGGGCTCGGGGCGGACACAGTCGACATTGCAGACCGGTGAACATGCAGTCTGCCTGGATGACTTGAGCCCTGTGTCCAATACAGGGTTGGTTGTGCGCGAGTCTGCTTGATAAGATACGATATCGACAAATCCCACGACAAACAGAACGTGCACTCCACTTGAGCGAACGCATGGATGTTGTGCTACCACCACTTGTAAAGCTCTCATACACTCTGCACTATTTATATCCGCACATTCACGTTCACGGCACTTTTTCCCGGTGTGGTATGCCAGAAAATAGTGCTGTAATGTGTCGCATCTGTTGATTACTTGGGTTTAAGGCGGCTTCGGCATCAAGGCGGCTTCAGCACCTATAATCACCTATGAGACGCTGATATGCATCAAACGCTAGCATGTCGTTAATTACAGCTGTGAGCGATCGGCAATGATTTTCTTCTTCGACGGAAGCCCGCCCGGCACCTAACGGCGAGGCGCCACGTACCCCTAGCATGCTCGCCTCCAAAAAACAAAGCATTTCCCGGTGGATGCGGCACACCCCAGTCGCCATCATCATTACCGTTCTCCTCCTCCTCCTCCTCCCACCGCCTGGCAGCCGTCCCCGCTGGCAGACGGGTGGCCTCGGGGCGAAGTCTGTTCAAACCCGCCGCCGTCCGCCAGGCGGACGCCAATCACCGCCGCTCGCTGCACGGCCGGCCCGGCGAGTGGCACCTCCGTCTTTCTCAGCCCGTGTTTGGTTAGGATGTGAGACTGTTTGCGCTGCGATAGGGAGCAGCCGGGACGGCCAGGGTCCGCGCGCTGCCACAAAGGTGTGTGGACTCAGCTGCCGGCGCCTGGCCGGCCGCGGACAATTTCGGACCTACTGGGCCCAACCCCGCCCGGCCGTCCTAAGTGAAAGGCCATTGTTGAGCCTGTTTGTATTGACCGGGTGGAACGGCAGCTGCGGACGTCTGGCTGTGGCTCCAAGCAACTTTGCGAGACTGGCATTCCTCCGCCGTCAGTCCCTCCTTCCGAGCCGACGTCATTCGCGCGGTGCTGTCCCAGTGGAGTGGTTTTCCCGCTTGGTTCCGAACGCTTGCTCAATCACAGGCCAATTCCAGCACCCTCGAAGCCCTCCTTGTGGCCCAATCGGGGGACCCAGCGTGATCCAGAATCCCCACCTCCAAACACCCGAATTCCAGCCCTCCGCTTTGTGGTCGCCACAATGCGGGCGCTCGGGTCTTTCTGCGCCGCCAGGTTCGCTCAAAGCGGCTCTGGCAGCCTGATCAGCCGCAACCCGCAGGGCTTTTGGCCACGTTTGGCGTAAACAGGCCGCCGGCGGGATGGACCCGCACCTGCCATGGAGCCACCTTATGGTTCCTTCGGTTTGCATGTCGGGCGTTCCAGAGGTAGAGGCCCAGTCGAGTGAATCCCAGAGGTCGACCGCCGCTGTTGAGATGGGTAACGACACAAAATTTTCCTTTTGTGAGCCTTTTTCATCAGTTTTGGCATCAATTACGCGGGTATGGCAGTGACCAAAAATTACAGTTCAAGTACATGATGCATTGAAGATGCAACTTGAATTTCGGGGCTTCGACAATACCATCAAACGTTCTTATTACCCCATATGGAAAATCTCGTCCATATCAATAATCGCCCATCTATGGCTGCGGCAGGCATGTTGCGTTGCACGTTGTCCAGTCGTTCCGCCGTCTGGGGCGAGCCCGCACAAGGTCAGCCAGCCAGGCGCGGCGGTAACGCGCACCCTCCCCCGTGACAGCCCAACACGTCACTGCCTGCGCCGGTCGGGACGGCCGCTCCGCGCGTGTCCCGTCCGGTCGCGGCGGTGTCGGCGGGCCGCCGTGTTGCGAGTCGGCGCCATCGGCCGGCGGCAGCTGCCGTCGCGTGCTGCGCCCGCGCCGCCGCGGCCGGTCAGCCTCGACGGCGAGCGCGCCGGCCGCCCGAGGCCGCGATGCATCAGCGGCCGGCGCGCGGCCACCACCTGCCCCTGGCCGGTCGGCCCCGAGAGGGCCGTCTCCGGACGGGTCCGACCGGGCGGCAGCTGGTCACCGCCGCCCGCAGACACAGACGGGCGGACGCGCACCTGTCCCGGCCGGCTCTCTCCGAGTCGCGCCGGCCGCGAAGATCAGCCGGACCGCGCCGAGGCGACCGCGGAGATCA